TTTAGAAAATATTCAATTTTATTAGAACGAAGTGTATTTCGACTTATCCCAACGTACCTTGGTTGAAGTTATTGTTTTACGTAATTTACGAAATGTTGGTTGTCCGCTATTGCTAGTGACAACTCCACCTCGGCAACGAACTTCACCATTCCCATTCGAGCTTCCTCCTCCGAATACATCCACGTAGAAAGTGGCGTAGTAGTAGCACTGGTGCTTGGAGTACCAAACTGTAGTTGCGTTTGATCAGTTGGAAGAAGCCTATGTTTGACCGCACAGTTTTTGTAGTCATGGTTGAAGTGGGTAGTTCCAATACTTTTTTGTCATGCCAGTCGTTGTTGACAGTATTTACATATTGCTTTGGTTTCTGGAAGTCCATTGACCACTCGACCAGTGTGAATCAATTTGAAATAGTCCCAACATTTTGCCTGCTTCTTCCCCTTTCTCTTCCCTCTTGCAGCAGGAATATTTAATGTAGGTTCTTCATCTTGTTCCAAATCAATTGGAATACTATGATCAACATCAACGTCATCCAAATCAATTGGATGACTACCTTCACGAACGTCAAAATCTTGAATGTTTTCTGGAATTGATAATTCATTGAAACCAGCGAATTCATTCCCAAATTGATTTTGGGCAAATGTTTTGCCTTCTATACCGAATAAGTTTTCAACAAATAATTGTGGATCCATTTGTGAATAATAGAATTTGAATGTTGAAGACTTGAAGTATAATGTAGAAATGTAGAATTGAGAAGTGAATGAAAATTATGTAGTGGTGTATAAAATAAATTGTAAAAGTAAAATAAAGATAATAATGTTAAAAAAATGTAGAATTTGAAGATAATTATAGAATGCATGAATGATATTGTTGATAATTTGTAAATTGTAGAGAGTAGAATAGAGAATGAGAGATTGGTGGGAAAAAATGTTGATTAAGGTGTGTATTTATAGAGAAAAAAAAGAAAAAAAAAAAGGACCAAACGGTCACTGAATTAAAGTGCCCAGATCGGTCACTATCATTGAATTTATCCAAAAAATTTATTATTATTTTTTTTCAAAGAGCCCACGAGCCGAGGGCTCCTGGGCTCGTTGTGGGTTGCTCGCCGAGCAGCTCGTGTACAGTACGA